GGATCACGGCCAGGATCCGGTCCAGCTTCTCTCTCGTCACATGGTCTGAAGAAGGCAGGGGGTGGGGTCAGTGCACAGGTGCTGTCTGAGGGCATGTCACATCCAACGGGCTGACTCCTCCTCTTGCAGACCAGAGCAGGGGGGCTTAGGAGCGATTCCCATTACAGCAATTCCCATAGAGCAAGGAAGGGAGGTGGGGAAGTCTTGTGAATCTCAGAAAAGCTCTGGAACCCCTCAGAAAGGCACTCAACGTCTCTAGAACATTCTCAAGGAACTCACGGAGCCCTTGAAGCTGTCCTGACTCCAGGTCAAGGACATCTCCTGGAACTGCAGGTTCAAAGACGTACCAGGACTCGCCCGATATTTGAAGTCAAGCCTTCTGAATCTGCGGTAACCCTGGCCAGGAACCCACTTGCCCACATACAGAAATGGGCAGCCAGATGACACAGCGGGTCCCACTGAGTGATGGCAACAGCCCAACCATCAGTCCTCCACTGGGATCCCAGCACTCAGTTGGGGCAGGCTCCAACTTCTAGTTCCAAGGGCCGGAGTTCTGGGAGCAGGCATGGGGACCAAGTGCACACCAGGCTGGGCAGTCCTAGGTCCCTCACAGCCTCTGCCTGGTTTCATGCATGCTATTATTTCTCTGCTGCTGCCTCTTCTCCCACTCACACACCCCAGCCCCAGCGCCTACCTCCTTTAGGAAGCCCTTCCTGGCTGCCACTCCACTCTCCAAGCTAGTACCCATTCCCCCCAAATCCTGGCTCCCTCCCGGAAGCGTCAACATGACATTTGCCCCTAGGGGCTTCTTTGGAGGTGAAGGAGAGGCTGTGCCAGGCTGAGCACACCTCGCTGAGACCCTAGTGCCAGGCACCTGGGAGGTACCTGAGGGGTCTGCCCAATGAGCCTGTGGCTCCCGTAGGGCATGGTGGGACCCAGAGATAAAGGGGAGTAAAGAGGCAGTACCTGCCAGCCACACATCCACATGGCTGGCCAGCAGGAGCGGTCACGTGGGCCTGCAGGCCCAGGGCTTGTGGTGCTGGACTTGTCACCGCTCATGAGCTGTCTGAGTCCAGCTCTGGGGATGGAGGACTTTCTGGGAGGAAGTGTCATTGGAGCAGGGACAGCAAGCAAGCGCCAGCCATGGAGAAGACCTCCACAGAGGCCCCGGGAGCCAGTCACCCCTTCCGTCCAGCCCTGGCTTCTGAGGCTCACCATACGTCGTCTTCTCCACCAACCGCCCGTCCTCACAGAAGTCGTCGGTGGCTTTGCCCAGCAGGCCGCGCAGGGTGTAATCCTGCCAGGTCAGGGCGGGGGAGAGGCAGTCAGCCCTGCTAGCTGTGCCCCAGTGCTGGGGTGGGACGGGCGGGGAGCAGAACAGAAGCTCATGTCCTACAGGGGCTCCCCGGGAGGCCCTGTGCTCAGCCCTGACCAAGCTTCCTTGTGGCCTCCTTCAAGAACACAGGCTAGGGTGGACTTCTGCCGCTATGACAAGGTTCCCCCAGCTCAGGTGTGAGGACCTGCGCATGCGTGCACTGGGAGGCAGCAGGTGGTGGTTGTAGCATATGGGTCTCTGCCACCCACATGAGACCTGGACAGAGCTCCAGGCTCCTGGCTTCGGCCAGGTCCAGCGCTAGCTGCTGTGGCCATTTGGGACATAAATCAGATGAGAGACCTGTCTGTCTTGCCCTCCCCCACCCTGTCACTCTGCCTTTCAAATCAACAAATTAAAAACGAGGAAAAACACAGGTAGCCTGCAAGGGGCGCTGACAGGCACCTGTGCCGACCTCCCCTCTGGGTCTCTCCGGGGCAGCCCCTTGGCACCCACTTCTGGGCAGGTCCCATCGGCTTCGTGCCACCCGTGGGGTTCCGGCCGAGCTTCTGCGGCCCAGATCCAGCCCTTCTTCCTCGTTCTAAGCGAGAGTACTTGAGTCCACAAAATTAACCGTGACAACTGGGACACTTACTGGGTGGTGATAGCGGGTCGGGGTCTCAGCCCAGTGCTTCACAGCTGCTTGCTGGTAACCCCAGAGGGAAACACAGGTGTGCCCATTTCAGAGAGGAGTAAACTGAGGCACACAATTGTGAGTGACCCGTGCAGGGACGCACACACCAGCTAAACACAAGCTGACCTCTGACCTCTTGAACACTAGCTTCAGAATCATGTCAGGAAAGAACCAAGAGCAGGTGGGCTGTCCCCAGACCCCCGTACCTTGGTGAGATGGGCATCGTGCATGTCAGTGAGCAGCCGGCATCCGTGTCCCACGCCGAGCACTGGAAAGCAACCATCCTCATCTCACACATGGCACCTGCTCCCTGCCCTCACCTCTGGAAGCTGTATCCTACTTCTAGAATATTCCTCTAGGGTTGAAGCTAGCAAGGGGGAAGGAGCAGCCAGCCCGAAGGAGGGGCCGCTTCCTGCCTCTCTGACCCTCCACGCACTTTACAGGAGTGTGGTAAAGAAGGTTACGTCTGTCCGCCATGCTCCCAGACACCACCACTCTCAGGACTAACGGGTGACCCTGAGAACACAGCAGCTCCAGACTCCAGGCTTTGTGCGTCCTGCTCTGGTCGGGGGGCAGCGGGGCAGGGGCGCTGACTTGGCTGGCCCAGGATAAGGCGCCATCTCCCTGTCGGGCGGTATGAGCTGCTAGGATCAGACCCTAAGCTCTCAGGAGGCTCGCTCTACTCATCCATTCAAATCAAGATGTCCACTGGAGAGGCTGCCACGGGATGCGGAAGCCCTCAAGTCACATCACCCACAGGCATCACGTGGCAAAGGTGGGGTGCGGCTGTGATGATCACCCAGTGAGGCCCTCCCTCCCACCGATCAGCTCCCAGACTGTGAGGCCAGGGTGGGAAGAGGGTGATGGCAGGACAGGGCTGTCGGTGGGCTGGGCTCCAGCAGCCCCCTCATCCTGTAGTCCAGGCTCACCTTGACTGCCACCTACCCAGCACGCCAGAAGCCTGGGCATCCAGCCGGTGTCCCACTCCAATCTTTAGGCTGGTAAACGCTGGTCCACACACTGCAAGGAAACACACACATACACGGCCCGAGGCCTCTACCGACCAAGATTTCAGGGCAGCCCAAGGCTGCGGGATGAGCCCGCTCCTCAGCCAGAGGCCAGCAGAATCCATGCCACGACCAGGCTACAGTTTCAGACTTCCCCAGAATCAACTCAGACCCAGGACATCTCAGCTTGCCGTGGCTCACACAAAGGTTGGCCCAAGATAACCTGTTTGCTGACCCACTGGGGGAGTAAATCAGCAGATGGAAGGTCTCTCTCCATCCCCTCCCCACCCTTCTTTAACTCTTCCTTTCATATAAATAAAAAACAGATCTATATTTAAGCAGAGACTGGGAGCTCTCTGAGGCAAGCCCTGAGTTTGTCTTTGATTCTCCCCGGAGGCGACATCTGGTCTCCATCGGCCTTACCCAGTGGATGCCTGGTGAGGGTGGGCACGCTGGTGGCCGTGAGGGTCAGTCCCTTGTCTTCACTGCCCTCCGTGGGGCCCAGCAAGAAGCGTACACGCTGTTGGGGCGCAGGGGCCTTCCCAGCATTGAGACCTGGGCACACACAAGTGAAGGTCTTGCTGGGGCACTCAGGGATGGAGTGCCAGCATGGGCAGGGTTGCAGTACAGGTGGAGATGCAGCTCAGGTGAGGGTTGGGGTGCTGTGAGGGACACCCACAGTGCACAGCAGAGAACCTGGTTCAAGTCCCAGCTCCTTGGAGTTTCCAATCCTGTTAACGTGTGGGCTAGGGATGGCGGGTGACAGACTCACAGCTCAAGACCTTGAGGTCCAGTTGCCCCAAAAGAACACCCAAATCAACTCCAGCGCTTAGCTTCAGCCTGGCTGTTGCTGGTATTTGGGGAGTGAATAAATAATTTTTAAAAATCACACTTATCATGCCTGGCACGATAGCGTAGCGGTCAAAGTTCTAGCCTTGAACATGCGGGGATCCCATATGGGCGCCGGTTCTAATCCCGACAGCCCCACTTCCCATCCAGCTCCTTGCCTGTGGCCTGGAAAAGCAGTCGAGGACGGCCCAAAGCCTTGGGACCCTGCACCCGTGTGGGAGACCAGGAGGAAGCTCCTGACTTTTGGCTTTGGATTGACTCAGCTCCAGCCGTTGCACTCACTTAGGGAGTGAACCATCGAATGGAAGATCTGCCTCCCTTTCTCTCCTCCTCTCTGTATATCTGCCTTCCCAATACAAATACACAAATCTTAAAAAAAAAAAAAAAAAAATCACGCTATGGCAGAGAGGAGACAGATTAGTCAACTGGAGGAGACCCAGGCGAAGCCCACGGTTCGAACCCAGGCCCCACTGCTGACGGGTGCGAAGGACACGAACACCAGGGAAGGTGTGGAGTCATAAACTAGAGGGTCCTGGGACTGCGCCGATGGGCTCCGGGAAGGGCCCATCCGGCCAAGGGCGACCGGGGGCTCACCCCTCAGAAGCTGCAGCTCCACCGTGTCCCGCAGGTGCTCCCACTTTAACCCCGGGGGCTTGTAGGCCGCGAAGAGTCCGTGCAATCGCGCCACAGCGGAGGACCCCATTTTTTCATGCCAACAGCACGCCGACAGGCTGCATTCTAGGCGGAAGTGCCGTATGGTTCCTCCTCCCAAAGGAGGGGCCTTACCATGGGCGCCGCCATGTTATGCAGCCGGAAGTGGTTCTCATCTTATTGTCTCCGGGTAAAACCTCAGTGGGTGGAGTAATAAGGCCCGGCACTGAGCCGCAGAGGTAGTGTGGTTGGTCTCCTTTAGAAGCCCTTTCTCGAAGTGAGATCAAACAAAGAGCGTCTTGTATCAGTGGAAGTAGGTGGGAGACGGGCCTCGTGGGTATGCTGCACATAGTTAGTCACAGGACCCCTTTCTGTCCGTGTGACGGAGGGGTAGGGCCGTGCGGATCGAGGCCTTCTGGCCTCTCCGGCGCTCCGTCCCAGGGAAGGCGGGTACGTGAGTCCCGCCCCGTCCGCCTTTCCGCGGACGTCCGCTGCCATGGCGACGCTGCTGCGTCGGGCCCTGAAGCCCCTCACTGGTCTCCGAGGCCAAGCGGGCTCCGCTGAAGGCAAGTGGCGCCGAGTTCCCGCGGGAGCAGGAAGAACCTGGGCACGCCTCTGACCTAGGCCCGTTCCTTGTCCCTGCAGATGTACGGTTCCGAGCCGGCAGCCATGGCGCTGGCCTGCTGTACCCGGACCACATCCCCACGTCCCCGCTGCAGAAGGCGCTGCTGGCCGCGGGGTCGGCCACCATGGCACTCTACAACCCGTATCGCCACGGTGAGCGGCCAATCACCTTACCCTGGATCGACATGGGAGGTGGAGCGGAGGGAGCCTGACCGGCCGCCTGTCCCAGCCGTTTCCGGGGAAGTTTTGTCAGTGCTCGGAGATGAAGTGAGGGTTTGCACACACCCATTGAGCACAGTCGGCCCAGGACTCCGTGGCTTAGAAAAGCCAGGCCGTTCGTGCAAGGTCACCTGTATAGTGGCCGCACTTGAACTCAACTCTGTACCCATCTGTGGAGGAGTTGAGATAACACATGGTGAAAGTGATTTTGTAAGCTGGGCTAACCGAGGCCACCCTACCACAGCACCTGCCTGGATCCTAAGGATAGTGACTGGCGGTGCTGTGTGATTGACTGCGTGTTTCCTGAGTATCTGAATAGGTGAGAGGTAGTAAGTGTATAGTCCCAGAAATGTCTTTACCCATGATCACACCTCTCACTGGTGCCCACTTCTGCCCTTTCAGACATGGTCGCGGTTCTTGGGGAGACCACAGGACACCGCACCCTGAGGGTGCTCAGGGACACGATGAGGACGCATCCAGAAGGTGCCCAGATCCTGCAGTAGGTCCCTCGGGAACCTCCGTGTATCGTCTTGTTCCGATCCTGCCCCCTCTCAGGAGTACTTCTCGGTACCCTCCTGTGAATGGCTTTGCAACCTGCCCACTGCCCAGTTCCAGCGATGCCAGCCGCACGTCTGTATTTGTCATAGAATGCCCTCCGCATTGGGCTCAGTGGTGGTTCTGTGTAGCTGTTAAAGGCCTGTCCCAGGTGCTGGCTGTACCCCTCCTGGGAGGTAACTTTGCTGTGAATCCCTGATCACCCCAGGTTGGGCCACTATTGTCAGGAACTGCGTCCCCTGGCCTGGCCAGTATCAGGTGCTCTACTGGGGCTGTGTCCCTGTCACCCCGTCCTTGAGCCTCTGGCCTTCTCAAGTTGGGCACCCTCCCAGCACTCACGCCTTACCTTGTGTCTTTCAGTGAGCGCCCCCGGATCTCACTGGCTACCCTCGACCTGGGCAGGCTACGGAGCCTGCCAGAAGGCTCCCTGGGCCGCGAGTACCTCCGTTTCCTGGATGTGAATGTGAGTTTCCAGCTCCTCTGTGTGTGCAGGCAGCGGGCAAAGCAGGGACATGGCACAGGAATGCCATCCAGGGAAGCAGTAGCCCTGAGCTGCTGCCATGGGCCAGGGTGTTTTGCAGCCTCCTGCCAAGGCTTCGCTGTTCTGCATAGAACATGTGCACAGGCCAGATTTTTGTTTTATTTATTGGAATGGCAGAGTTACAGTGGAAGAGATACAGGTTTTCCATCCACTGACTGATTCCCCAAATGGCCACCACGGCCAGAGCTGCTTTAGATCAAAGCCAGGAAGCAGGATGTTCTGGGTCTCCCATGTGGGTGTAGGGACCAAGGACTTGGGCTGTCTTCCACTGCATTACCAGGGAGCTGGATGGGAAGTAGACCAGCCGGGACTTGAACCAGCATCCATATGGGATACTGGCCTTGCAGGTGGTGAGTTAACACACCACACTGCAATGCAGACACCCAGAAGGACTGATTTCACCTTCTGGCTCATGCCCCAGTGTCCTCATCAGCTAAGAACAGGGAATTCCATCCAGTTTTGCCAGGTGGGTAACACGAATCTAAGTACTTGGGGTAGTATCTACTGCCTCCTGGAATGCGTGTTAGCAGGAAGATGGATCAGAAGCAGAGTCAGGGCTGGATCCCAGGTACTCCCAAAAGGTTTGCAGGTATCCCAGCACCTGACCCTGTTTGTGCCACAATGCCTGCCCCTGGGTCCATCTCCTAAATGCCACACTGGACCCGTGTCCTGGGGCTTTACTGCCCCTGGCCATCGAAGTGTGGCACTTTCCTCCGGTCACAGGCCGAGGCCGCCAGGGCCCTCCCAGCTACTGAGGAACTCAATCATTTATTTAGCACCTGCCTTGGGCTCATGTGCTAGGGGGCCAATGGTGACATGGACAAGGTCCCTAGGGTTCAGGATGAAGAGGTAGAGAATAAAGTAATAAAAGATAGTTTTTCTGTAGAAATTCAGGTTGGTTTTTAAATTGAGTATCAAGCATGTGCCAGGCATTGGTTAACCACTGGGATGCAGTGAACAAAGCCAGCAGATAGCTGCTTCTGCGGGCTCCCATTGCAGCGGAAGCATGAGCACCACTGAAAAGGCAAGGTGACTGGTGAGAGGGTGGCTTTGGAGTGGAGGCGGTGACGCCAGAGTCCCTTCTGATAGGATGGCTTGGAAGGTGCGGAGAGCTGGAGGTGGCCAAGGTTCTAGGCAGAGGGGATGCCCGGAGCAAAGGCCCTACGTGTTCCAAAGAGGAAAATGGACCAACGGGGCCCCAGAGGCACCCATAGGCTGGGCGGCCAGCTGGGCCAGGCCTGTGGGTATGGTGGAAGACCATGTCGCAAGAGGAAGCTCTCAGGAGGTTTTAAGCAGGACAGTAACAAGCTCTGCTTAATGGGAGCCCTCAGGCAGTTGGCGTGGGGCCCCTGGGCGGTCAGCCACTGCTTCTGCCACCTGCACTTGAGTCAGTGCCAGTTCAAATCTGGGTCCTTCTGCCTCTGATCCCATGTCCTCCGCATGCATCCCAGGAGGCCACAAATGATTGCCTAAGTTCCCAGGTCTCGGCCGCCCATGTAGGAGATCCCATGGACATCAGGCTCCTGGCTTCACTGTAGTCCAGCCTTGGTTGCAGGAATAAATCCATGAATGAGAGATGTCTCTCTCTCTCTCTCAGTCATTGTGCTTGGCCCTGCTGTGGGCAGTTGGGAACCACTATTCCAAGTGATTGTTCCCCCGGACCACACTCTCAATACTCTGTGGCAGCAGGAAACCTCCCAGGGCATCCTGTCCCACCTGCCATCTGGGGAGCAACAGCTGCCAAGGGTTCCCTGAGCCTGGAGTCCTGCTGTGTGTTGGGTGAGCCAGGGGAGGGGAGCCATGAATGTGGTGTGTCACAGCCTGGAGGTTGTGACTCCCACAGAGCCAGGAAATTGCCAGGTCCCAAGGGAGAGAGAGCACCTTTGTCCCCACAGGGTTTTAGATAACGTGAGGTGGGGAGGCCGCTCACCTGTGGCTGGTGTAGCTCCAGAGCTTGGTCATCCGTCCAGGGAGGCAGGCCAGCAAGGGAGGAGCCGGCATGGGCCGCCCACCTTGCCCCAGCGTGACCACCCTGGACAAGCCCTGTGCTCCCCCGAGGCCCACCCACCTCAGCTGGGGCCAGGAGGCCCGTAGTGCACGTCACAGTCCTCCAAGCCACTTACTGCCAGTGCTTGGGGGTGGCTGCTAGTTTGGGGATCCGATATGGTTCCAACTTCTTTTCCTTTATTTTAATAAAATTTATATATTTTTTTTTAATTGGAAAGTCAGATTTACAGAAAAAAGGAGAGACAGAGAGAAAGAGGTCTTCCATCATTGGTTTGCTCCCAAAATGGTCATAACAGTAGGAGTTGAGCCAATCGGAAGCCAGGAGCTTCTTCTGGTCTTATGTAGGTGTAGGGTCTCAAAGCTTTGAACCATGCTCAACTGCTTTCCCAGGCCACAAGCAGGGAGCTGGATGGGAAGTGGAGCAGCCAGGACATGAACCACTGCCCATATGGTATCCCAGCACTTGCAAAGGGAGGATTTGTTAATTGAGCCATTGCACCAGGCTGTCTGGTTCAGACCTTTTTTTTGTTTTTGCTTCAGATCTTATCTCAGCCGCTTTACCAGCTGTGTGACCCTGGCTAAGTTGCTGTAACTCTGAGCCTTGGTTGCCTTAGGGAAACGTGAGGCCAGCGGTGGTCCTGGTTGCTCGATTCCCACGAGGATAAAGCTGGGTGGATACGTGGAGGAGAGTGCGGGCACCCTCTTCATGGGCACCCTGAGAAGGCCGCCAGTGCCATGACCACCTTCCACCCCACTTAGTATTTATAGGGAACCACAGTGGACCCAGACCGACAGGTGCTGGGTCAATAGCTCCAAGCTCCAGTCGCTTGGCCTCAACACAGGTTGGGGCTAGGCCATTCCTGCTTTGTGTGGGCATGACAGATGCCGCAGAGGGGCACTGGATGAGACCAAGGAGTGCAGAAAAGTGCCCTGGATCAGCCACTAGAAACGTAAGAGTGAGTAAATTAGCCAGCCCTATGCTCACACAGCACTATCTGTAGAAAAAGAACATGGGCCAATGTCTCATTTGCAGCTATTTGTGGGCCTGTGTGGTTGCACAGCACATTAAGCCACCACCTGTAGTGTCAATGTCTTATGTGAGTGCTGGACCAAGTCCCAGCTGCTCCACTTACAGCGGAAGATGACCCAAGTGCTCCTGGGTCCCCTGCACCCATCGAGGAGTCTTCATGGCTTTTGGTTTTGGCCTGGCTAGGTCCTGGCCATTGTGCTTCTCTGGGGAGTGAACTAACAGATAGGAACTTGATATTTGTTTCTGTCAGTCTGTTTGTCTGTCCTTATACCGGAAGATATTCCATCTGCTGGTTCACGCCCCGGTTGCTCACTGTAGCAGGGCCAGGCTGAAGCCAGGAGACAGGAGCCCCAGGCAGGTCTGGATAGATGGCAGTGGCCCAGCTGCTTGCACTTTTGCTGCTACCCTCCAGGGTTCACCTGAGCAGGGAGCTGGGGCCCAAACCCAGACCCTGCGGTGTGGGAGCAGGTGTTCCAGGCAGCGCCCTGACTTCTGGGCCAGTGCCTGCATCAGAGCTCACTGCCATGATGCGTTTTGTTTAGTACATGTAACGTTAGTTGGTACTTGTATCTTATTAAGACCTCGTATTTCTTTTAATTAGTCTTTGAAATGGACCACATTTTGTACATTCAGAATGCCTGTTGCAACCCCTTGCTCTTCAAAACACAAAACTTAAAAGCATTATATTTGCTTAAAAGCTTTTGATTTATTTATGTCAAAGGCAGGGTGACAGAGAAAAGACGTTCTATCTACAATTTAACAATGCCTTTCCTACCCCTCAGCCATGCCTGCAACAGCCGGAGCTGAGTCAGGTCTGAGGAAAGAGCCAGAGGTTTCATGCGAGTCTGCATGTGGGTGCAGGAACCCAAGTGCTTGGGCCATCAGCCTCTGTTTCCTAGGTGCATTAGCAGCAAGCTGCATTGGCTGCAGAACAGCCTGGACTGGAACCAGCACTCTTGACATGGGATGTGGGTATCACAGACAGCGGCTCAACCCACTGTGCCATGCACCTGCCAAGGTCTATTAGCTTCACCATCTTAAACCTGAGGTGCAGTTGTGTTGATTGTATTCAAATTGTTGGGCCCTGGACCAAGGGAACTGTCCTCTTCTTGCAAAACACAAGCTCTGTAGCCACTGAATAGATCCTCAGTCCCTCTCCTCACTTACGGATTCCTGCAGGAAGCGAACCTGAGGTGTGCGCTGGAGTAAGCAAAGGGGCTCCATCCTCTCAACTTCCCTGTCCAAGGCTGCACCTGCTGGCAGGGCCACACTGAAGGAAGTGGCTTGGGCTTTGTGACGGGAGTGGCTCAAGGAGAGCCCATGCAGGGAGGAGGAGGTCTAGGGAAGCTTGTGGCTTTCAGAGGGTCTCCCCAGACACCCGCGCGCCCACCCGCTTTGTGGACGACGAGGAGCTGGCATACGTGATCCAGCGTTACCGGGAGGTGCATGACATGCTCCACACCCTGCTGGGGATGCCCACCAACATCCTGGGTGAGTGAGCTAAGCGGGCTGTCTCACAGGCTGGTGGGCGGGGCTCCCCAGGCCTGTTGGTAAGGTCCTGAGTCCTGTGCATCTGCCCCACGGTGTCCCTTCCGGCATGCCTTTCCAGGTACTGGCCCCTGAGCCTTCTCCTGCTCCCCAGGCTGAGCAGCCAGGGGCCTGGGACAGTCCCTCTCTCTGGGCCCCAGCAGCAACACCTTGGGTCTGCCCCTGGCCCTGTTCACTTGCCACCCCATCCATCACCTCCAGGGGAGATCGTGGTGAAGTGGTTTGAGGCTGTCCAGACCGGCCTGCCTATGTGTATCCTGGGAGCACTCTTTGGCCCACTCCGGCTCAGCGCTCCGTAAGTGTTGGAGGGGCTGGGGACGGGGGAAACTCAAGGCTGGGCTCTCAGGGAGTGGAAAGGGTGGAAAGGGCGCGGGCAGACCGCCTGTGCCAGCCCTGAGGGCTTTCCAGGAAGCCCTGGTGGTGGAAGGTGGAAGGAGTGGGGCGGAGAGGTGAGAACAGACTTGGGCAGGTGTCTCCAAGACCACAAGCAGGAATGGAAGGACCAGGGTTGGGTTAATTGTTTCTGTCCCATCTTTACATCTGGGCCTGGGCATGTTTGGGATCTTGGTGTTTGGGCGTGAAATATACCTTGGCTGGCTTCTGTTTGTTCTGCTGGAAAGCGGGTGTGGCGACCACATCCTCTCAGGCCTCTGTGGGGGTTAACTGATAAAATGCCCCTTGCCTTTTGGGGCTGTGCACCCCAGAGCCTGTGGTCAGCGTTGGTGGGTGTTGGGGGCACTAATGTCTTCCTTCCCTCTGCTGCCTCACAGGAGCTTGCAAGTGCTGCTCTCAGAGCTGATCCCCTGGGCAGTTCAGAACGGGCGTCGTGCCCCGTGTGTCCTCAACCTGTACTACGAGCGGCGCTGGGAGCAGCCCCTGGGCGCTCTGCGGCAGGAGCTGGGCATCACGGCCCCTCCCCTGGACGTCCGACGCCTGGGCCGGACCTGAGCCACCAAGCCACAGGGTCTGGCCCGCCTCGCTGCCCCTTGCTTCCCTCCCTCCACTCCTGCCCGAGATCCCTAATCCCTTACCTTTGGACATCATTTATCTTAATTGTCGCTATCAGGGCTCAGTGGCCTCAAGCCTCCAGGGCCAGGCCAGAAGGAAGGAGGCGGAGGCACAGTGGGACTCTGAGGGGAGCCGGGAGCCACCCCTGGTGAGGATTGGAGATGTCTCAGGCCCAAACTCCCGTGGTTGGCTCCTCCCTGTCAGCCACAGTGGCCTCCACATCCTCTCAAGGAGGGCTGCCCCCAGTTCAGGAGCCTGAGCAAAGGGAGGTGCAAGGGCCAGCCAGTCTGCCAGCAAAATAAAAGCTCCGATGGTCCACACATCTACTGGCCTTCCCTTGACTCAGTGCTGTGTGGGGCTCCACAGCCGTGGCCACCTGCGTTTGCCCTGCACATGTCCTCTGCTATGACCACAGAGCAGCTGACAGACTTGCACTCCTGATTCCTCCAAGTTCCAGCAAAGGAACACCAAGGGGGCCCCTGTCATGCGGGCCCCTGAGGTGGCATTCAGAAAGGGCTCCAGGGACAAGGGTGATTTATTTAGTTGGATAGAAGATGAGACAAACAGATGTCCTGTCCTCAATACGTTCACTCCTTAAATCCTTGAAACAGTGAGGTTTGGGCAAGGCTGAAACCAGTAACCCAGAACTCCATCCGTGTTCCCATGAGGGCAGCGGGAACCCAAATGCTTGAGTCATTACCTGCTGCCTCGCAGGGCCCGTGTTAGCAGGAAGCAGGGCCAGAGGTGGAGCTGGGCCTGGCGTACAGGCACTGCACTGGGGGCTGCGAGTGACCCGTCCTGCCTGGGGAGAGCCAGACGAAAAGTGGAGCAGTTGGGGACATGAGATAGCATACACATAGAATGCTGGTGCTGCAGGCAATGGCTTTCACTCGTCACAACACCAGTCCTTTCCATGAATATCATCTGAGCGTGTGTTGAGACTTAGTTGGAGTTGGGGAGTCTTAACAGCCAGAGGCTTTCCATGTGCCACATGTGAGCTGGGAGCCCAACTGGCTTCATCTCCCTTGACACCAGGAGGCATTCGATGTGCAGGAACACTGGGATTTCACAAGGAGATCCGCTTGCAGCCTTGCATTCAGGCCTGGGAGTGAGTTCAGCATGGAAGCAAAGGAGACAAGGACTCACACTGATGTATGATGGGCATTACACCAGCAAGACAGCAGGGACTGGGGAGACACCTGGTCTGGTCCAACCTGCACCTGCTCAGACTAAGCAACTCAAGGCAGGTTGTCTCGGCCCCTTGTTCTTCGCCTCAGGCTTGGTCCAGTGTCTCATCCGAATCAAAGTGTGGAGGAGGAGAGAGCAGGTGCCTGGCCTCTGTGTCCTCCCACCCCCTAATGCTCTCCTGCCCACTTTGCATATGACCTTGGTAGTCAATTTGAAATGAAGGTGTTTACAGAGAGGGATCCTGATGTGGGCACAATTGTCATTTCCAAGCCACTCCCTCTCTATTCATTCAACAAATGTTGACAGGTTTTCTTTTATCTGCTCAGCCTCCTGGATAGAATCAGAGATAATCAACAGAGTCAGCTGCTTAAAGGTGGCAGTCACCATCTTGGCTCAGGCTGGGCACCCCACTGGCCGCTTTTGGCAGGTAGTAGGGGTGGGGGTGGAGGGTGGCGCAGTCTAGCTCCTGAGCCAGGAACTCAGAACATTAGCTGCTTAAAGGTGGCTGGCGCCATCTTGGCCCAGTGGCGAGCTCAGGGGTTGATGAACTACTGCCTAAGAACATTCATGGATACACTCTGTATGTGTAAGTGAGGAATGAACCCTGAGGGACACCCAATGACAGGGCCACTGTACTTGCAGGTAAATAAGAGGATTGAGACCTGGTGGTTTGGAGGGGAGAGACTGGAAGACCTGTATGGGTCAGATTCACACAGCAGCCCACATGGGAGTCCTGAGTTGGGCTTGTTAGCATGAAACATTGCTGACCACCACATGTCAGTCCACATGAAAGCTAGGGCTGGGTGCCTGTCTAACAGGGCTAGATCCCGGTACCTGACTGTCAGAAGAGGGACTGGATCACATTAGACAGAGCCATGACACTAAAGCATGTGAGGGAACCAGATCTGGGGGTAGATTTAGTGGGGGAAATGTGGGCCCAACCCTGTGGAAATACAACTCCCACTGGTTAGCTTAAGAGTAGGGGTGGTCCTGCGGAACTGCGATTTCCACTGGCATGCCCAAGAACTGTGGATGGCAATAGGCCTGGCTGGGGAGTGAAGGAGACACCCCAGCTGGGTTGAGATATCCCCTGGTGAGCCAGAATGAGGGCAGCAGGCTGGGCTGGACATGGCTATAGCCTCCTTCAGCTCAGGTGTGGACTGGGTTTGAAGAGCGACAGACTGGGCTAGACGCCAGTACCCACTGGTACTTGTAGGGGCCAGGTCGGATGTAGAATGGAATGGGCTAGGTCTAGACTCCTGCTGAACCACGTGAAAACTGAGTCTGGGCATGGACCAGGTATGCCTGCGGTGCAACACCCAACAGTAAGAACCAGAATGGGTGTGGGCTGGTTGAGCAAGCCCACAAAGACAAGAGTTGGACAAAAAATAGTTTGGGCCAAGGACCCACTGGTGTGTGCGCGATCTGCCCCTGGGAGGAGACCTGACAGGAGAGCTTGGGAAACTCCTTTGTAGGGACATAGGCCATGCAGGTGAATTCAAGAACCAAATCAAGGAGCAGCCTCTGCAACAGTACCAAATGGGCTGACCATGACAGGTTACAGTACCCACCAGCATACATGTGGGTCAGGTCTGGGGACAGACCAGGCTGGCCCAGTTCATAACATCCACTGACAGATCTGAGAACCAGGACAGGGTGCAAGAGGGACTGAGTTGGGCCACAATACCAGCCAGTTCACATCAGGGCTGGAACAGGGTTCTGACTGTACTGAACTAGGCTGCAGCACACACCAGGAGCTGCACTGAGCCAGGCTGTGCAACATGATAGTGGATGCTGAGGTGAGACGATGCCAGGTTCATGAGCCCAAGGGGAGGGAGATCCGGCGGAGCTTGGGTCACCTGGCCCTGGTCCTTTGACCTGCCCGTGCGTGAAAAAGGCAGAGCAGTGGACGCAGGCCCTGCTGCACATGGAGAATAAGGCAGCCCATTTGGTACTGTTGCAGAGGAAAGAGAACAGAACACATTGAACAACTACCCCAGCAAATGTTGACAGCAAAAATCTGACTGGATGGAGGCTTGAGGCTGACTGTCAGCCAATGGACATTGAGAGGGTTGCCTCACCCTCAGATAGGCGAAATCGCCAGCATTTCAGAACTATCCAAACCACTTGGCCAGATCCTTCAGAACATGCAGTACAGTGGGACCCTCAGTTGATACTGGTTGGTGGATCCCCATCCCTGGGCACTGGGGCATTTGGGAGGCTGGGTGTGGCTTCCCCCTTTATCTCTCCCCTTCCCCCAGAGGCAAGAAGAAATAGAAATTTTGGAAACAATGATTTCACCCACTTTTTCCCACTGTGGTCAACCATGTAATCATCACCAAAAATAATAATAATTAAAAAAAAAATCAGAGATGATCTATCTAGACTCAGGTCTTGGATGAGCCACCTGGCCAATGAAACTAAGCTACAATAATAAACACGTGTCTCACCATGTCAAATGCAGCTCCACACCCAACCCTCTTTTCATGTGATAAATAATAAGAAGCAGAGAAGCAGCTTTGTGGCACAGTGGGTTCAACTGCTGAGATGTCCACATTGCCCTGTCAGAGTGCCCATGCTGAGTCCCAGCCATTCTGTGCTTCTAACCCAGCTTCCTGTTGACACACACTCTGGGAGGCAGCAGGTGGTGGCCAAGTAGTTAGGTTTCTGCCACTCACTAGGAAGGCCCTGGTGAAGTTCCTGGCTCCTGGCTTCAACCTGGCCCAGCCATGGTTGTTGTGGGCATGTGGAGGGATGATCCTGCCAAAGGAAGATCTCTCTCTCTCTCTCTCTCTCTCTCTCTCTCTCTCTCTGCCTCTCGTTATCACTTGGCCTTTCGCCACCGTGAACTCCATCCGAGAAACCGAGCCAAGTTCTGTGGGTTGCCCATAACCTGTGTGAGTAACCGCTGCCCCACACTGCCTCCAGAATGTGGCATCTGTGACTCCATCAGAATTGCATCTCAGAACCCTATAAATAGGACCTGGAATCCCCCCTCCCCAACCCACCCTCTGAACATGTGGACTGGGCTGTGAGAGCTATTTAAGGACTGTGGCAACTGTGGCCACCAAGCATGTCTGATTTATCAAGGAATCACGTTTTCAGAGGCCTGGGGCCCTCAGAGGGATGGGCATCTAGCCTGTGGCCCAGACCCGGGCAGATGGTGAGAAAGACAAGGCTGTAGATTTATAGGATCTTTTGCAGGTTTCCAGAATGACCCATAGGCTAAAGTTAACCAAAGAACCTCCAAACGGTTGGCAAGATGCCAGAGGGCCAGCAACCTCAGAGGTCACGTTTATGACTACGCAAGGAGCACAGCTGGCTGTGCAAGGAGCATAGTCCGGGGCAGCAGTGACAGGGTAGCCGCAGCAGCCACAGACCTTCAGGATCCTCACTAAGGTACGGAGTAGCAGTAGAAGCCGGGGGGAGGGGGCATCAAAATTCGACTCTGGTGGGACTCGAACCCACAACCTTTGAATCACCACCCTAGGGTCTAGCTAGAAGTCCAATGCGCTATCCATTGCGCCACAGAGCCGGTTGCTAAAGCAACTCCTCCAAATCACTCCTCTGCCGGAACCCGCCCTTTTTGGCGCTCCTCTGGGCGTGGCGCCGGGCCTTGGCTAAAGCTCTGCCTCAGTCTGAGGGCAGCTCCGAATCGTGGGCTGGCGGTGCTGGCGAGGGCGCCCCCGCACCCCCTCACGCTGGCTCACGAGGGGATGCGGGGAGGCTCCTCGCCAGCCCCGGAGCCCGGGCGTGTCTGCGTGGTGCGGACTACACGTCCCAGCGTGCCGCGCGGCACGAGGCCGTCGCGCGCGCGGTGCCGGCTGGGGCGCCCGGGGGCCGCGAGCGCGGCGCTGCGGCTGTGGGGCTCGCCTCGCCTCTCCTCGCCTCGCCTCGCCGCGGGGAAGGCGCGGGAGGCGGCGCTGTGGCCGGCACGGCCGGTTTGGGGTTGCGGGAGGCGGGCGGGGGAGGAGCACGACGGAGGAGCGGGCGGGCCGGCCCGGCCGGGCGTAGAACGTTGCCTCAAACCCGGCTCTGTGCGCCCAGGGGCGGCTGATGCCCCCGGCGCTCCCCACTCCGCTGCCGCAGCCGGGCCGCACCGGGACGGGGCGCCGCCGCACGGCGGAGCCGACGCCGGGTGAGCCGAGGCGGGGCCGGTGGTGGTGGTGGTCGGGAAGCGTGGCGGGGACCTGCCGCTCTGTGCCCCGCAGCCGGGGGTTCCCTGCTAGACCTAGGGGCGAGGCCGGCCCGCTGCACTGGGGGCTCCCTCTGCGCTGCTCGCCTCGCCCCCCATCCTCCAGCATCCCGGGTCGGGTGCCTACCTGCCCGTCCCTCTGCTCCGGTGGGCTGCGTGGGAGGCAGAGAGGTCTGCTGAGAACCTCAGCGACCCCGTCTTGGGGGACGGGGATGTTCGCTTAGCCTCCGCCGCACCCCGACTTTTGCTTCTTGGGAGGAGGGAGCGGCGAGGTGGTCCGGGAAGGCATCCTGTGGGCCCGCCCACGTTCTTAGCCTGGCTGGGGTGAGGGGAACCTGTCCACAGCCTTGACCTTCAGCTCCTCCCAAGAATAGCAAAATCTAAGAAAAACCGGGTCCAGCAGCCGACCCCTTTGAGCGAATCCGAGATTCCTAATCTCAGCCCGGCGCGTGTGGCACAGTCAAGTCCTTCGGCGACCCCAGGCGCCTCCCCGACCCCCAAGACTGAGCCGCGTGTCTCTGATGCGGAAGATGGGGACACCTGCGCGACCCTCTTCCTTGTCCCCCTGGCAGTCACCTTTCGGACTCCCGCAGGTCTAACCTGCTGGCTCGGTCGCCCTCTGTCGGCCGGCCCAGCACGGCGCTGCCCCTTGCCGTGGGCTCCTCGCCCAGGAAGCCGCCCCCTTGGGGTGTCGTGTGACTTGCCTTGGTCATCCCCAGGAGCTTTCTGGATGAGGTGTGGAGGCCGAGGTCACGCTGCAAGCCCCTTGGGTGTCAGGGAGAGGGGGATTCCCCGTCCTCAGCAGTCACCCCACTCCCTGTGGGGTCATTGTGAGCTGCTGGCCTGGACTGCCTGACTCTCTGCACCCCCTTGTCCCCACAGGCCACGATGCTGCTCGGGGCGTCTTTGGTCGGGGTGCTGGTGTTCTCCAGGCTGGTGCTGAAGCTGCCCTGGACACAGGTGGGGTTTTCCCTTCTGCTTCTCTACCTGGGCTCTGGCGGCTGGCGCTTCATCCGAGTCTTTGTCAAAACCATCCGACGGGACCTATTGTGAGTACCTCCTGGCTCAGCCCTTCCTGGGGTGTCTCATAATCCCCCAAACCTCCCCCGTGGCTGGCCCAGGGCACCGGGGCTGCCCCCCACTCTTTCCGTGGCAGGTCACACCTGGTACCTGTATCTCCAAGGTCAAAGTCTGTTCCCATGGTAAAGTCCTTTGGTCCGGAGCAAGCTCAGGACTTTGAGATATGTCAGATAGCAATTGTGAGAGCAGGAGGCATGAGGATGCCCTGTAGCTCCTGGGAAGAGGGAGAGGAGCCCAGTGGGGGAGGAGACCCTGCCATTAGGGTGGCATGTGGCTGGCGGCGCCTGGAGGGCCCCGAGTTGATGTCTGCTGCCATCTGCTCCCTGCTGGGCACTGGGCACTGGGGAGGATGGGACTGGACAAGGAGACAAGCTTGCAGTTAGCAGCCCCTCTCACCTGGGTCGCAGTGCCTACTCGGTGAGCCATGGCCAGAGAGGCGGCTCAGCCTTTGTCCCTCTGGATTGATTACAAACAGGAGGCATCGAGGGGCAGGTAATTGGTGCAGCAGCTAAGATGCAGCTTGGCATACTCGCAAACTATGTTGGAGGGCCAGGGTTCGAATCCCGTCTCTGCTGCTGACCCAGCCTTCTGGAAGGAAGCCTCTAATGGCTCAGTGACTTAGGATCTTGCCACCCACATAGGAGATTCGGTTCAGGTGCCGAGCTCCTGGCTTTCTTTTTTTTTTTTTTTTAAAGATTTGTTTTATTTGTATTGGAAAGGCGGATATACAGAGAGGAGAGACAAAGAGGAAGATCTTCCGTCCGATGATTCACTCCCCAAGGGAGCGCAACGGCCAATGCTATGCCAATCAGAAGCCAGGAGCCTCTTCCGGGTCTCCCACACGGGTGCAGGGTCCCAAAGCTTTGGGCCGTCTTCGACTGCTTTCCTGGGCCACAGGCAGGGAGCTGGAAGGGAAGCGGGGCTGCCGGGATTAGAACCAGCGCCCATATGGGATCCCGGCATGTTCAAGGCGAGGACCTTAACCACTTGCGCCACTGCGCCGGGCCCAGCTCTTGGCTTTCGTAGGCATTTGTTTGGAGGTGAACTATCCACAAGGCAGATCTGGCAGCCTTTCAGAGCTGCTGAAATTGAAAGCAAATAAAAATGTCATTGCAAAGATTTAAAAAGGGGCGGGGAGTTGTTGAGTAGCCTCAGGGAATGACAGGAAGGTGGAGCAAGAGGAGGGCCTGGGCACCGCTTGGGGGACCAGAGCCTCGTTCTGGGGACAGCGGGTGTAGCTAAGGGTACCTGTGGGGTGTTGAAGGAGTCCCACGGGGGCCGAGGGGTCACTGTGGAACTGGGGAATAGGATGGTGGACAGGATAGGCCTGCCCAGCGGGGCTTGTAGGGGAGAAAGAACAGACAAGGCAGCAGCAAACTTGGTCTTTTTTTTTTTTTTCTTTTAAAAAATATTTATGTCAGGCCTGGCGGCGTGACCTAGCAGCTAAAGTCCTCACCTTGAACGCGCCAGGATCCCATATGGGTGCCGGTTCTAATCTCGGCAGCTCCACTTCCCATCCAGCTCTCTGCTTGTGGCCTGGGAAAGCAGTCGAGGATGGCCCAAAGCCTTGGGACCCTGCACCTATGTGGGAGACCTGGAAGAAGTTCCTGGCTCCTGGCTTTGGATTGGCATAGCATTGGCCTTTGCGCTCACTTGGGGAGTGAATCACCGGACAGGGGATCTTCCTCTCTGTCTTTCCTTCTCTGTATAATTGCCTTTCCAATTAAAAAATATATGTGTTTATTAGAAAGGTAGAGTTACAGAGAGAAGGAGAGGTAAAGTTCTTCCATCGTTGGTTCACTCCCCAAATGGCTGTAGTGGCCACCAGTCTGAGCCAGGATCCGGGAGCTTCTTCCAGGTGTCCCACGTGGAGGAGGGTCCCTAGACTTTGGGCCATCCTCGACATTGCTTTCCCAGGCCACAAGCAGGGAGTAGAGCAGGCAAGACACGAACCGGTGCCTATATGGAATCTTGGTGCTTAAAGAGGGAGGATTAGCCAATTGAGCGATGGTTCCAGGCCCAAGTTTGTAGCATGCCTGGTGCAACAGGAAGTGCCAAAGGCAGAGTCTGATGAACTTGGGGATGGGGCCCCAGAAGGCTCAGGTTGGAGCTGCAGCTTGAGAGGGTCCCTGAGCTGAAGCCTGGGCTTCAGAAGTCCGCTCAGCCACCATGTGCTCTGCAAAGAAGCCCTGGGCAGACCGTGGCACCATGACCTCCTCAGTTTCTGTGCCTGGCAACGGCACTGGGCATGCGTGTGGCTGCGTGGGAAGAGGGAGAGCGATGTGGCTCATTGGGTGGAAGAGGGAACAGGGGACGAAGACCTGGGCAGGGCTTTCTGCTCCGGCAGCGTCACTCCCTGCCTGTCCCCTCCGCAGTGGTGGCCTGGTGCTCCTCAGAGTGAAGGCAAAGGTGCGGCGGTACCTGCAGGAGCGGGCGACTGTGCCCGTGCTGTTTGCTGCCACCCTCCGGCGCCAGCCCGACAAAACGGCCCTGATCTTCGAGGGCACCGACACTCACTGGACCTTCCGCCAGCTAGATGACTACTCGAGCCGCGTGGCCAACTTCCTGCAGGCCCGGGGCCTGGCCTCAGGCGAAGTGGCTGCCCTCTTCATGGAGAACCGCAACGAGTTCGTGGGCCTGTGGCTGGGCATGGCCAAGCTGGGCGTGGAGGCGGCGCTCATCAACACCAACCTGCGGCGCGATGCCCTGCGCCACTGCCTCACCACCTCCCGTGCACGGGTCCTCATCTTTGGCAGCGAGATGGCCCCAGGTAAGCCCCGAGGGACGATACGGGAGAAGCCAGGGGATCAATGGTGAGGGGGCCTGACCTGGGGCTCCTGGCCACCCAGAAGCTGGAGATGCTGCACAAGGCCACGAATTTTCTGATCCTCTGCTCGCTGCCTCATGGCACCCACTGCACGCTGTCTTCACGGGGTTGTAGCTGAAGCACAAGCCAAGAGGCTGCCTCAGTGGCAGCATCCATGTGGCCACCTCATCCACTCCAGATTCCTCGCTGTGCTTGGGGGTCTTTGTTGCCCTTATGGGGCAGCCAGAGATGCTGATCTTGGTGCTTTACCAAGCAGCCGTGACTGTCACACAGCCCAAGGGAGGGAGCGAGAGCAGACTATATTTTGTGGGTGCAACTTGGGCTTAGGGTGCCAAGGTTCTGGAAGTGTTGAGTGGCTGTGCTGGGTCCAGGGCCCAGGCTTGCCCGCAGCCTCTCTATTTTTGTCCCTGCGCCCCCCGCGCCCGCACTGCTATGGCTGTGAGATGTTGAAAAGGAAGAAGGAAGGGGATGCTGGGGGAGGGGAGAGGGTCCCGAGCAGGCCAGCCAGGCCCGGGTGGCTTCATGGGAGAGTGGGGGCAGGTAGGTAGGACCCTCCCTCCCATCTTCCATACTGTGCCCCTTTGCTCCCCAGAGTAGCGTAATGCGGTAGACAGGCGCAAGCCTTAATGTGAGAAGAGCTCTCTCCCTTTTGGGGGGCCTCGATTGTTGCATCTGTCACATGGCCAGACAGTGTCTCTAGCTCCTTCCTGGAGATGTAGACACGTGACAGGGCTTTGGAGTGGTGGCCAGCAGCTGAGAGATGTCTTGTTGCTGTCAGCATTGAGTTCCCAGGGGCTGCCCCAACCCCATGGCCAGCCCTGGCACAGTCGGCTTCCACAGGCCGCCCAGCCCCATGGCCAGCCCTGGCACAATTGGCTCCTGGGAGCGCAGCGCTTCCTGGCCTTCCTGTTGAGCGCCCCCTCTCTCCTGCAGCTGTGTGTGAAATCCATCCCAGCCTGGACCCCTCCCTCAGCCTGCTGTGCTCCGGCTCCTGGGAACCCAGCGCCGTGCCCACTGGCACAGAACACCTGGATCCCCTGCTGGAGGCTGCCCCCAGGCACCTGCCCAGTCGCCCTGACAAGGGCTTCACAGGTGGGCTTCCTTTCACACAGAAGGTTCTAAAGCCAGAGTTGGAGTGATGGCCTCAGGGCCAGAAGGCCTGGGCTCCTGTGCAAGCTTGCCACATGTCTGGGACCAGTCATGTCCCTTGTCTTTTCCCATCTGGGAAAATTGGACAGCAGCCTTGGGACTCTGGAGTCCCTGTGACATGTGTGATGTGCTGGGCACAGAGCTGAGTGCATGACAGCTCTAGCACTTTGATTTGCGGAGCAGGCTGCCCTGGTGCCTGGCACCAATGGGCCGTGTGGACCCTGAAACACTGCTCCATAAGAATTCTGGCTGGGGGAGGGTGAGGGTTGGGGAGTAGGTGAGGGGCAAGACCCTCTGGATGCTCACCTGGTCAGTGCAGGACCCTGCTGGGTTCCAGCTGTAAGGATGCCTTGCCAGGCCTCTTCCTGCTCGCCTCGGCACTGTACCCTCCTGGGTCCCTGGGCTCGACTCTCTCCTCTCGCCATGAAGCCTCACAGCTCGTGCATTACCCGGCGGCCCAGTGTCGGGGCTGACAAGCTGGATCTGGGTTCCTGTGCCGGTTCAGCTGCTGCCCTTGTGTGAACCTGGGTGCCTGCCTTGCACTCTGGGCCTCGTTTCCCGTGATGTGACACTGGGGACAGGAGCAGAGCCAGCTTCATGGAGTAGCTTTGAGGGCTTCAAGAACATACAGTGGGTCAAGTCCTGGGGCTAAGCCAGGGCTCTAATCACTTGTGGTGGTGGCTCACCTGTCCCCGGGTGTCCAGTGCCCTTGCTGCAACCACTTGTGTCTGTTCTCAGACAAGCTCTTCTACATCTACACATCCGGCACAACCGGGATGCCCAAAGCTGCCATCGTGGTACACAGCAGGTAAGGAACAGGTGCACCAGGGTGAGTCCTTCTCCGGGGAGGAGGGGCACTCACCTGGTGTTTTGCCCTGTGCCCGGACAGGTATTACCGCATGGCCGCCCTGGTATACTACGGATTCCGCATGCGGCCCAACGACATCATCTATGACTGCCTGCCCCTCTACCACTCAGCAGGTAACCTTGGGCCCCTGTCCACCTCCTGTACCCCTGAGGACTTGGGACTCTCTCTCACACACACACACACAGCTCTTGTTGGCAGTGTGTTGCCAAAGAGACTTAGGAGCTTGGGGGTGATGTCTGAGTTCGTATCCAGACAGGGCCATTGCCTCCACCTCCATCTCCTTAGCTGGTCTCAGCCAGGGTGACCATACCAGTCCAGAGTATGTAACGTTGTCCTGCAGGGTTTCTGCGCTGGCCACATCCCAGTGTGTGCAGGCCTGCATGTCTGACGGTAGTGGGCTTGGGGGGACACAGCTGGATCAAACTGAGTGCCTGTCTCTGAGTTATGGGGGATGTCTGAGGCTGGGTAAGTGATGGAAACATATCCTACTCAACATAGGAAATGACGTGGTGAGTGGAAGAGGGGCAGGGAACAGAAGAGCAGCACAGGGGAGGTGGGGACCTCAGAAGGCTGCCTAGTTACCTGGCAGCTTGGGGCCTGGGGCCAGTTCCACACTGGGGAGCCATGGAAGGTCTGAGAGGGACAGAGGCAGTTTTGGCAAGGGTAGGTGGGACAGCGCAGATGGAGAGACCTGGGGGAAGGGCGAAGGAGGCAGTCCTTGGTCCCGAGGAGGCAGCCCCAGACCTGAGGAGTCGGCCCTAGGCTCTGAGGAGGCAGCCCCAGACCTGAGGAGGCTCTAGGGGCATGGTCTCTGTCCCCCTCGCCTCCAGGACCCTTCTGTGCCCTCAGGGAACATCGTGGGGATCGGCCAGTGCCTCATCCACGGCATGACCGTGGTGATCCGCAAGAAGTTCTCAGCCTCTCGCTTCTGGGACGATTGTATCAAGTATAACTGCACAGTGAGTGAAGGGGGTGGGGCCTGCGGTGTTTCCTCGGTCCCCGTCACAGCTGCAGCGTGTCATTCCCCTGGGTCACAGTGGAAGGCCCCTTGGGATGGGCAGAGGGCAACCCCAGGAGCCTCATCTCATGCCCAGTCCCCCCGCCCTCTTCCAGATCGTGCAGTATATCGGAGAGCTATGCCGCTATCTCCTGAACCAGCCCGAGCGGGAGGCTGAGACCCAGCACCAGGTGCGCATGGCCCTGGGCAACGGCCTCCGGCAGTCTATCTGGACCAACTTTTCCAGCCGGTTCCACATCCCCCAGGTGGCAGAGTTCTACGGAGCCACCGAGTGCAACTGCAGCCTGGGCAACTTTGACAGCCAGGTGTGGCCCAGACTGAAGATGGGCAAGGCCTCTACCAGGCCTGACCGCGGGAGGGCAGCTGGCCAGGGCAGGGGTGGGAGACCCACCCCGCAGCCCATGCTGGGAGACCTCTAGCCTTGTCCTTCACAGGTGGGTGCCTGTGGCTTCAACAGCCGCATCCTGTCCTTCGTGTACCCAATCCGGCTGGTCCGCGTCAATGAGGACACTATGGAACTGATCCGGGGGCCGGATGGCGTCTGCATTCCCTGCCAGCCAGGTGGGCCCCAGAAGGCACTTAGGGCTTGAGGGCGGCCAGTGGGGATGGATTGGCGCCATGCAGAGCAGGGAGCTGCAGTCAGGTTTGTTCTTAGGGCTCTAGAGTGTCCATTTCAAGATCCATTTTATTATTTATTTATTTATTTATTTGAAAGGTGAAGTTTCACACAGGAGAGAGAGATCTTCCATCCACTTGTTCACTTCCCAAATAGCTGCAGTAGCCAGGTCTGGGCCAGGCCAAAGCCTGGAGCTCCATCAAGGTCTCCCATGTGGATGACCAGGGCGCTAGTACTTGGGCCATTTTCTGCCACTTTCACAGGTGCATTCAGGGAGCTGGATTGGAAATGGTTGTGCCAGGACACAAACCCCACCCATATGGGATGCCAGCACATGCAAGGTAGCCACTAGGCTACCACGCTGGACCCCTATTTTTCTTTTTAATTTAATTTAAATTAATTCATTTATTTGCAAGATAGAAAAAAAACACTCAAGGAGAGACAGTTCATCCATCCACTGATATACTCTTTGGGTGGCTGGGAGCCAGGAGCTTCATCCAAGGCTCCCACATGGGTACAGAGGCCCAACCACTTGGGTCATCCTCCACTGCTTTCTCAAGTTCATTAGCAAGGAGCTGGCGTGGAAGTGGAGCAGCTGGAACCAGAACTGGCACCCATATGGGATGCCAGTGTCACAGGTGCCATGGCACCAGCCCGCACCTCTCACAAATCTGACCTTGCCTTCCCTGCCCGTAGGTGAGCCAGGCCAGCTGGTAGGCCGCATCATCCAGCAAGACCCCCTGCGCCGTTTCGATGGCTACCTCAACCAGGGTGCCAACAACAAAAAGATTGCCAAGGACGTCTTTAAGAAGGGGGACCAGGCCTACCTCTCTGGTGGGTCCCTCGCCCTGTCTTTCCTGGGCAAGGGGGAGGGGGACTCCTACCACCTGCAGAGAGCAGCATGCTGGGCTTCCCTAGTCCCTGCCCTGTGGCTCCGGCGAGGCCTGCCTGGCCCAGGCTTTTGGGCCAAGGCCAGACTGGTGCCAGCCCCACTTCACCTGCCACAGGTGATGTGTTGGTGATGGATGAGCTCGGATACCTGTACTTCCGGGACCGCACAGGAGACACATTCCGCTGGAAAGGGGAGAACGTGTCCACGACTGAGGTGGAGGGCACGCTCAGCCGCCTGCTGGACATGGCCGACGTAGCGGTGTACGGCGTCGAGGTGCCTGGTAGGTGTTGGGGCAGGTGTGTGCAGGGAGGCACCGCCAGGGCGCTGCCAACCACTCATTGTCCTCCTTGTTGGTGGCAGGCACTGAGGGCCGGGCTGGAATGGCTGCCATTGCCAGCCCTGTCGGCGCCTGCGACTTGGAGCACTTCGCACGAGTACTTGAGAAGGAGCTGCCTCTGTACGCTCGCCCCATCTTCCTGCGCTTCCTGCCTGAGCTGCACAAGACAGGTGCGTCCCTTCCCTGCCCTGGCCCTCTGCTCCTGCCCTCTGCACCCCCCTGCCGCGAGACCCCCAGCAGGCAGCTGTGCTGTGAGCTTTGCCTGCTGCCCTCCCTCCCCTGTGCTCAGTAAGTTGACCTCCCTGTGTTCACAGGGACACCCTGGCCTGGCAGGGTAGAAGGGGGTCCCTATCCATCAGTGCAAGCATGAGTTTTTGGGGAGTTTGTAGAGATGAACAGGAAGCAGCCATAGGACAAGGAATTCCCAAGATGGAGGGAACACAGGGCAGGTGGACATAGTCCCCTGAGACCTGGATGAACATGGCGATGGCATGGAGGGGTGGGAAGCAAGCGGGAAGGCATGAAAGGAGACCCCCCCAACACTGGAGCCACATGTGGGGCAGGCATGCCAGGGACAGGCCAGCAGCTCCCCAGAGTTCCAGGGTCTTGTGGGGCAGCATGGGGGAGGGGCAGTTTGAACATCCTGAGGGGACACGGGAGCCACTGAGGTGTTGGGCACTGAGGGGGAGTCGTCAGAGATGGTTGGATACTGCATGGTGAGGAGAGACCAGCAGGGAGGTGAGGGAGGGTTGTCGTGCTTGTCCAGGCAGGAGAAGGGCCTGAGCTGCAGTTACGTGGCAAGCCAGGGCCATCCGTCCACTCCCGACCAATTGAGGGCTCTTTGGAGTTCCTCTGGAGGGGTGGGGGCAGGAAGTGCCCAGGCACCAGCCCCTCCCCTCCCCAGCCCTTCTGCCCTTCCTGGCCTACCCTGTTGTGCAGCCCCTTCCTGTGGCTTGATCACCTTGATGGGGGCACTGTGCAGTAGTGGGCACCTGTCCCTCTACGGGGACTTGAGGCAGCAGGTCCCAGGACTTGAATGGAACACAGGTGCCAGGCCCATGGCTTTGACAGCCATCTTTGACTTCCGCCTAGTAGGGGCCTGGAGGCTGTGTGATGTCTGGTTTCAGACAGCATCCTGCCGAGCAAAGCAGTTCCCCTCTGGCTTGGCCCAGGGGCTTCAAGCAGCCACTTTGCCTGCAGGGTCCTAGAGGTCATTTTGCTTAATTGAATACATTTATGGCTCCTGGTGACAGTGAAGGCAGGTGCTGCACCTACCACACCCCCTTCCCAAGACCAACCTGATCCCAGGGCACTCCCTGAGGGCAAGAAGGGAGTGTTCCAGGCCACCACAGGCTGTGGTCAAGGCAGCTCATGGGCTGGCTGTGTCCAGCTCTGCAGGAAGGCTACGGCTCTAGCCAAGTAACACGAGGGGGTTGTCAGGCCCTCTTCTGGAAGCTGTTGCTGCCAGATGCCAGCCCTGCCACTGGGCGCTGTGCCGTGTGGCACAGGCCCTGACACATGCTGAGCACCGTGGAGCTGGAAGTATGTGGCCCACAGGCCATTCCACGCCACAAAGCTGCAAAGTGGCACAAGGGACACAGAGATGCCAACATTCATGTATCTTGGGGCCCAGAAAATGCTCCGGAGCTCCTGCCTCGACAGCCTGGCACGCCTCTGCCCACTAGGCGCTCTACTCCACATCCTGCTGGGGACCACCCCCAAGCAGCCACCCCTCTGCTGGGGGGGTAAGGTGGGAGGTTAATGCAGCCACTCAGGCCCACGTCCCCTGCTGTTTGTGACCAAGTGGGCTAGCAATGACTGGTCTTTGCCCACTGGCCAGAGCTGTGCCCTCTGCTCCCGCCCTCCTCTCTTCCCTGCCTCAATGGTAGTGGGCAAGTGCCTGGGAGCACAGGTCTCCGCACTAAGTCCTCTTCTCCCTCAGGGACCTACAAGCTCCTTAAGACAGAGCTGCGGAAGGAGGGCTTCGACCCGGCTGTCGTGAAAGACCCGCTCTTTTACCTGAACGCCCGCCAGGGCCGCTACGCTCCCCTCGACCAGCAGGCCTACACCCGCATCCAGGCGGGCGAAGAAAAGCTGTGATTTGCCCCCTCACATCCCTCTGAGGATTCTGGGCGAGGCCAGACCAAAGCAAGCTGGGCCTGGCACCTCCACCCTAAGGTGCTGACCCCTCCCCCCACCACTGCCAAGGGACTCACTGCCGCCTCCCTGCCCACCAACCTGTGGAGGTTTTCCGTGAAAGCCTCCTATGCAGGCTCCTTCTCTTAGGCCAGAAAGGCCCTCCTCTGGACAGTGTCTCGAGTCAGACAGGGCAGGGAGTGATCCTGCCCCAAGTGGGGGAGAGCAGGGAGCTTGGCTGGGACTAAGGCGGAGGCTCCCAGACTCAGGCAGCCCGCCAAGCGGGCATGGGCAGTGGTGGGCACTGAGTGAGTGATGGGAATGTCAGCCCAAAGCTGCCTCGCTTCCCCCTGGCCTGCTCCCAGTTCTCGGGTACAAGAAGATCCCATGTGGGCCCCAACATCCCCCTGTCCAGCAAGCAGTTGGGACGGAGCACCCGTGTCTCCCTGTACCACCGTCCTCCTCCCCTGGGGGGCCATCTGTCCTTGCTGTGTGTGGGCCCAGCTGTGTCACATCTCTGTCCCAGTCCTGGCCCAGCTAAGAGGGGAAGGGGTCAGGGGCCAATAAATTCCACCTTGACTCCTAACCCAAGTGGCTGCTACCAGGGCCCACCTGCAGCCTGCTCAGCCCCTTCACCTACTGGCCATGCCTTGTCACCCTGCACTCAGGGACAGGCAGGGAGCCAGCCTGACCCACTTGCCCGCTCCACTGGAGCCATTCTCCGTGAGCTTCAGGGTGCACATAGCTGGTGATCCCATCCCTTACCTGTGAGATGGGAAGAGGCAGCTAAGAGGATTCGGAAGCTAAAGGGAGGCATTGGGGGAAGGGGTGTCCCTCATGCCTGCTGCTGCCTGGAGGGTATTTCCAATTGCTGAGGGAGGGTGGGGCCTGGGAGAGCCAGAGTGAAGCTGCTTCACCAGCCCAGCAGCTCAGTGGCACTGGAATGCCAGCTGTCTGGGCCCCTACAGGAGTCACGGGGGTTGGAAGGCCACCGCCCACTGGGAAGGGGCTCCAGGACAGCCCTTGGCTGTGGGCAGCGTGAGTTACTGTGGGCCGTTTTTTCCATTGTTGAACACCACCCTGAGTCTAAAGCAAGTTTTATAAATAGGCTTTTTTGCGGAAAGAGCCAGAATTTGGAGTTTTAGGGTCACATGGCCAAAGTCACAAAGCAAATAGCAGGGCTGGAATGCAAACCCACACCCTGTGCCCTTCCTGGGCACCACCCTCCCTGCGGGGGCTGCTGTCCTCACACGCCACACCCAGATCCTGCAACTGACAGCACAAGTGGGGGAGGCCAACCCATGATATCTGGGGTGCCCTCTGAAAGTTATTACAGGTGGGTGGGTTCCTCTCCAAGAAAGCTGGGTGCCTTATGAAGCTATGCTCAAGGGTTTGTCAGGCACAGCAGCCATGCCCAAATGTGGCCAGCAGAGGGCGCGCAGGGCTTGGAGAATCCAATCCTGGTCTCAGAGTTGAGTGGAGGACGTGGAAAAGGGACCCAGGCAGGCTCCCAGCCCAGAGGACCTCAGTGGTAGGCCAGTGAGGGTGGACTCACACCCCCAGTATTCAAGTCCCGACCCTACTATCTGCCAGGTTCAGCCACAATCCTTCTTTGCCCTTGCAAAACAGCATGAGGAAACCTTACCTGGGGTGGGAGTGGTTAAGGCTGTGCTCTGTTCTTTGTGTGCAGCTTAAAAGAAAAAGGGAGGTGTGTCCAGGTTGGAGGACCGGGGGAGAGAGTCCCAGGTTGCAACCACGCAAGGGAGGGGAGTGAGGATGTGGCCTCTGCTTGGCATTTGGCACTGCAAGGTTTGCAGAGCCCCCTACTTCTTCCTACTGAGCAACTTCTAAAGCGGAGGGTGCCTCAGAGCAGGGAGGGAGCCAGCCAGGGCTGGGGTCTCCCTGGGCTGGGTGGGAGAATAGAAGTGCACCCATGGCAGGGGGTCGTTTGTGTAGTTCCTGAGGGAGCTCATCTTGGGGGGGCAGCACTAGGAAGCAGGAGGAATGGGCCCCTGGGTGGTTAGGGCTTTTTGGCACTGCTGTTTGGCCTTGAGGGCCAGCCTTGTCCCTTGAAGGGTGTGAGCTGAAGCTGCAAGCTACACACGTCAGAGCCCTGAATGAGCCAGGACCTGCTTCTGGGACTGAAGATGGCTCCCACGTCCCAAGTGTATGGACCCTTCCCTGTACAAGGTACCCACAGGGTTGGTTCTACAAACTCCAAACTCCAACCCAACACAAAGCAGGTGCAATTTTTTTTTTTTTTGCACACCAGACTTTTATTTCACAGCACTGATGACAGCTCACTTCTCAGAAAGCAGCAGCCAAGAAAAAGTGGTCCTCCCTTGGGTGGGGGCATGCAGCTCATCTTGGTAAGCGAGCCCCTGCTCGGGCCAGTTCGTGGGACCCCTTCTGCCAGTCCCTTACCCGGCTGCGCAGGTCTGATATGATGGCTGTGAGGTCAATGTTGTTCCTCTCATAGCCCTGCAGCTGGTCTTGGCGCTCCCCCATCCCAGGAGGAGTCAGGCTCAGAGAGGCCAAGTCGCCCTAAAGTCCAGAGCCTGTGCATTGCAGCCCTGGGGTGAAGGTGCACTCAGCCGCGTTTCTGAGCCTCAGCATTGCCGTCTGGAACAGGCCTACTGGGCCCAGGGAGGATGCCAGAGGCCAGCCACCCCGCCCCGGGACAGGCAAGTGGCTGGCCAGTCTGCTGCATGGGCTATCACTTTCAGCTCCTGGGAAGAAGGTTAAATACCTCCGGGAGGCTGGGCAGGCCAAGGGGCAGCCAGGGGGACTTTGAAAAGGGCCTGGATGCAGGGGGCCGGCCCCTCCCTCGAGGAGAGGCCGCTTCAACGGAGCCTAATGAGATTCTGCCCTGGGCTTTGGCGGCAGTTTAACCCGAGCCGGGCGGATTTCTTTTTCACTGATCTCAGCTTGACACCCAATTAGCACAAGAATGGGGGGGAGGAAGCTTGCGCTAGGCGCCTCCCAGCCTCCCGGGGCGCAAGAGGGGAGCCTGTGGGAAGACAAAGGGCAGCGGGCAGGGCGGCAGCCTGCACCCTCACCTCCCCCCACGGACCCCGCCTTTGTCTCCCCAGGAGCCAGGAGAGGACTGGGGAAGGGGCCCAAACCCCTGTTACCCTGTGAGCCCACAGGGGAGGCAGTGAGTAGGGGCAGGGACCCAAGGACACAAAAAGCAGAGGGTCGGGGGTTACGATATCAACACTTAGAGGTCTTTGGGGAGAGTGCCCATTTGGAGCCTCAGCTTTCTCATCTGAGAAATGGGATGACTGACTTGGCCCCTGTGAGGAATAAGGGAGCTCCTGCAAAGGGCCTGGCAGGCACTGCGGGTACTCGGCAGTGTAGGAACAAATGGGGCTGGTACACTGCATCCCGATCCCCTTGACGGCACAGGTCACCCTGGCTGTGCTCTGAGGTCTTCCCCAGGGACATGAGCCCCAGGACAGCGGCACCTCCATGTGCCCAGCAACACCTCGCACATGCCCAGGGGCTCTGAGTGCAGAACCCATAGGGTTCTTCCTGGCTTTGCTGTGGGAGGCGGCTGTTCCCAGGGGCTTGTAGGGCCCAGGGAAGCCACTGATTTTTATTAAGATTTGCTTTTATTTGAAAGTCAGAGTCACACAGAAAGGGAAAAAGATCTCCTGTCCACTGGTTCACTCCCGAAGTGGCCACAACATCCAGAACTTAGTCTATCTGAAGCCAAGAGCTTCTTGTTCTCCCATGCAGGTACAGGGTCCCAAGGCTTTGGTCCTTCTACTGCTTTCCTAGGCCATAAGCAAGGAACCAGATGGGAAATGGAGCAGCCAGGACATGGAACTGGTGCCTATGTGGGATGCCAACACAGAAGCTCAGCCCTCTGTGCCACAGCAGGCCTGTCTTGACCTCAGAAAGGCACTGGATGGTTTTGGGCAGGAATGTGATACCATTCATTCAACAAGCACTGATCACAGCCCCACCATGTGCCAACTGGTCACGACTCAGCCAATGTCCCCTGGAGGAATCTTAGGTTACTTTGCAGAAACAACCTTGTGGAAGATCAGCTGGTCCCAAACCTGCTTTAGGGTTAGGGAACCAGTTCCAAAGGACAGGAAGCTGAGGAGGCATGGCGCAGGGCCTTGGTGTGTGACAGGCTGCCTCCCAGAACCAAGGCCAGGTTCCCAGTGCCTGGCACAGCCAAGGGGCCAGGACCTGTGCATGGAACCCACGTGCACGGTGAAGTGGGTACAGGAGAAGAAAGTGGTGTGGAAGAATGCTGGGTTGCAACATCAGATTACGAGGGAGGCTAACCCGCATTTGGCGAGTAGGTGTGGGAGGAGGGAGAGGATGAAGAATAGAGTCCAGCACACTCAACAGCTAATCCTCCACAGGACAGCAGCATCCCATACGGATACCAGTTCATACTCCCAGCTCCCTGCGTGTGGCCTGGGAAAGCAGTGGAGGAGGGATGGCCCAAAGCCTGGAGACTGCACACCCACATGGGACATCCAGAAGGATCTCCTGGCTTCTGCCCTCAGATCAGCTCAACTCTGGCTATTGTGGCATTTGGGGAGTCAATCAGTAAAGTTCTTTATTCTGCCTTTCCAATAAAAACTTTTTTTTTTTTTTAATAAAAAGGTCTAAAGTCCCCTGCTTGGACATCTCAGTGGGTGGTACCGGGATCTCCAAATGGGGGCACACAGGCTGGGATGCATTCAGTCCTCACCACAAGCACATGTGGGAAACTGCTGTCAGTCTCACCCTGACACACAGCCAGGGAACCGGGAGTTTGGCACCGTGGTTGAGATAGCACTCAGGGCTTCCGGAGGCCCTAACACACCACCAGCTGCCACAGGCACCCAGCTCCTGGGTCCCTACCTGCCACCCACTGGAGACACCCAGACAGAGTTGTTGCTTGGGAGCATCTGGGGAGTGAACCAGGGGATGGAAGATCCCTGTCTCTTTCAAAATAGGCAGTTAGGACGTCGTGGGGCTCCACCATCTCCAACTCCCCTCCTTTCCTATTCTGCCCATGCTGGCAGAAGATCAATCGGAAAGGCAGAAGGACAGTTCTCCCATCTGCTGGCTCCCGGCCCAGGTGGCCGAAGCCAGGGGTCAGGAATTCCGCCCCGTCTCCCTCAAGCTTAACAGAGACCCAAGCACCTGAGCCATCCACGCCTTAGCCGGGAGCTGTATAGGAAGCGGGGCAGCCAGCTCTCATACGGGGTCCCCAAGCCGCAGCTTTGTCTACTGCCCCCCACAGAGCTGGCTCCAAGTGCTTTGGAGAGAACTGAGTACGGCCACTGCACCCCAAACCTTAAACATCCTCCTGCTGCACGGCTTGCTAGGCACGGCTTCAGATCGGCAATTTTGCACCCATCAGAACGGTGAGACGTTTATATAGTCACACACACACCGGACAGAGAGCGAGTGGACCCCGGGGCCCACCCCGAGCACCGCTGCCAGACACCCGGAGACACAGCAGCAGCACGTGGAGAGCCACACCCAATCCCACAGGGCAGGGGAATTAGCGAATCAACCGCTCAGGAGAGCCATTTCCGGGCCCTACAATCCCATTCCCACAAGTGCACCGGGGGTGCCCAACCGACGTGAGGACTCAGGAAAATGTGCAACTAACGCAGATGGTAACGCGGCTCACAGTTCATGCCGCAAAGGTGCCGCGGGCTCGCCTTCGCCCGGTCGTGGTCTCGGACACAGCGCTGCGCACATGGCGAACCGAGCCGGGTCACCAGCCAGCACCGGGAACAAACCCAACAGCACCCCGGAACCGTCCTCCTGTCGCCCCGCCCTCTTCCATACCATCCTCCAATCGCTGGGCAGAACTGATTTTCTGGGTACCACCTCTTCCGTCTGGGACTCCGGGAAGGCGGCCGGAAGTGAGCGGGCGAGCCGGAAGCGGAGGGGAGTTTCCTCAAGATGGCAGCGCCCTTGTCAGTGGAAGTGGAGTTCGGGTGAGTCCCCGAGTTGGGGTACCGCGGGGGATGGACTGAAGTGAACTGGTCTGAACTCACCTCCCTGCGCCTCGGCGCCTGACACGGCCCACTTGTCGAGGCCCAGGGAATCCGGCCGTGATGGACGCCGCCCAAAGCTCGGTCTCCCTGGGCGAGGAGGCCGTATGTCCGAGAATAGAGGCGCACCTGCCCTGGGAAGGCACATGCATCGCCGCGGGTCCCTAGGAACCCAGAAACTTACTCCCTCCCTCATTCCAGCCACTTCCGTTCCCGCGGGTCTCGTGGCTATGGAGCGAGTCTCTAGGGTTTTTAAAGAACCTCTGCCTCTTTCATCAGCCCAGACAGTGAACTTGTTGAGTGCCTCTGCAGGTCGGGATCCACTGCGGGGACGGCTAACGCTGACAGTGGGATGCGCCGGGCTTGGGGGCAGGTGTCAGACCACCGGCTTGGCCCTTGGCCGCCGCGCACAGCAAGGTGGTCGTGGACCATACTGAGGGACATTGCAAAGCCTAGAGAGACGGATGTTCTCAAGGCCGGAGCTGAAGGCTGTGGGGAAAGGAGAAGCTCCATCCTGCATGCCTCACTGAGGGAGTGTGTGTCATGTGCCAGGCAGGGAGCCCGACACTGAGGATATACAAAGATGAATGGAAACTCTATGTCCGTTAGAGGGGATAGGGTCATGGGCGTTCCGTGTACTTCCATTGGCTGCTTGTTTGGCACCTGAACCTTATGGGTCTGATCTTTGGCTCTGTTCTACCCCTTCCAAACTAGGAGTTTTGAGGGGCACTGGGAGATTTGAGTGTGCTGCCTTAACGTAAAGGGACAGGCCCTAGATGGCCAGTGCAGCCAGTGTTGTTCGTGGAGTTAGACATCATGTTTGTTCATTGGAGCTGGATTCTGTTCTCCAGGGACTCTGCTGGTAGCGGGAGAACCGTATGAGGAAGCCATGGGTCAGGCCCTCAGCGCCTGCAGGCCTGCATGATGACCGCTTTTCTGGCCTGACCATCTCTTCTCAGCCTCTCTAACTCTCAGCAACAAGAGTGAACTCCAATAAGTAAAGGCGACATTTCTCACCCACCTTTTACCACCTGTGCCAGTGACGCAGGGAATACAGCTGCTGGCAAAGCAGGAATGCCCAAGGTGCATGCCAAACCCAGGCCCCATGTGTCTTGGTCTTTCCAAGACCATGCCTTCCAGCAGATGTGTTTTGCGTTCCACGCAGCTGTCCGTCCTTTGTCCTTCTCTCAGTGGCCCCAGCTTGACCTTGATGCTGGAAGACTCTGGGCAAGGCTCTTGCACACGACTCATGAGTGGGGGTAGTCCTCTCAGCCCACCAGCTCTTCTGTAGTGCTTCCAGAAGGTCTCTCATGCCTTCCCCTCTGTTGTCACTACCCACTCCTCCCACCCTTGGGCTCCCTGGCCTTAGCAGAAAATTATCTTTAGTCGCACATACTCCAGAGTGTGGCTTGCAGATGTGTCTTGCGTACTTGGCAGCACAGCGTATGGAAGCTCAGATCTGAAATGGCCCTAGTGCTGTCCTCGTTCCTCCTTGAGATCAGGAGGTTTGGGTGAAGGGAAGGAAAGCCATTGAGATCAGAGCAGAAGTGGGCAAAATGGGTGTCTTAATTCATTCTGCAAGTGTTTGTTGAGTTTCTGCTTGAGCTATCCTATAGGCAAAGCATCCCAGCAGGTGGGTAGCCAGAAAGAGGGGTTGTTGTACATGAAGGAGCAAGCACACACATAGGTAGAGGATTAGAAGATGTAAGAACTGGGAAAAGGGAAGACAGCCTGAGGCGCAGCTATACCTCTCACTAGAATCAACAACTGGAGCTGGCACCTGTAGCTCAATGGGCTAATGCTCCACCCTGTGGTGCTGGCATCCCATATGGGTGGCAGTTCATGTCCTGGCTGCTCCATTTCCCATCCAGCTCTCTGCTTATGTTCTCGAAAGCAGCAGAGAATGACCAAAGGCCTTGGGACCCTGGACCCATGTGGGAGACCAGAAGGGGCTCCTGGCTTCAGGTCAGCTCAGCTCTGGTCATTGTGGTCATTTGGGGAGTGAACCAGCAGATGAAAGACATTCCCTGTCTCCTTCTCTGTGCAAATCTGCCTTTCCAAAAACAATAGATATTAAAAAGGAGGGGAGCAGGTACACCCACCAGCTCAGCTCAAGCTGTGTGGTATGTGAAGGAAGCTAGATGTATCTGGCCTGAGTTTGCAAAGCAGATCCCTATGAGACTTACTGCTCGCAGAAATCTGGTCTTAGGTCTTCCTGGGGCCAAAACAGGCTTCTTGTACCTTCGTGAATGCCAGATGTGATGATAGCAAAAATGCCGTCCCCTCCCTGGGAGCCAGAGCCTTCTCTGAGCCCATTGCTGCTTCTGCCTCCATCTGCTTGGCCTCAGAGCCTGGCACCACCATTCCTGGCCCCGCTTGGTTGTTTGCCTGCGTCCTGGGGCCTTCCAGTTCCCAGCTCTTCTTCGACTCCCCACCTCCTGCGTCCCTTGCTGGGCACCCTCCCCCAGCACAGCTGCTGCCTGCGCCACCCAGGGGACAACCAGCCTCCTGGAAGAGGCTCAATGGGGGCTCTGTGTGGGCCTGCAGCTGAGATGGGCCTCCTCGCCCCGCCACGTTTCTGCATCAACACAGTGTGACCTTGTTTGGATGACAATCGTCCCATATCCCTTCCCCCGCCCCGTGACAATGCCTGCCTTGCCTCTGCCTCCCCATGGGCTGGCTCAGGACAACTCTGTTCCTGAATCTGGGAAGGGGTGGTGGGATGCGACGTCCCATCCACACAGTGCCTGTGAAGAAGGCTGCCTCAGTTAGGGCCCCGCATGACATCCCATCCTGATTGGGAAGCAGGACACACCCGGAGAGCAGCAGCATGAGGCCCCACACAGGCATCTCCACTGTCCCAGGTGCTGGTGCATTGAAATGAATCAAAATGCCCTCCAGGGGTTTTCTGGAATACAAGGGGGTCTTTTCTGCTGAGGCAACTGGGACTGAAGAGCAACCAGTTTGGTTCAAATCCTAGTTAAGTCACTACCTGTCTGACCAGGGCCAAGTCCCTGGACTTGTCTAGATCCCAGGCCCACCTCCCTCTGTCTTCCCAAGGCCTAGAGGAAGAGACGAAATGAGGAGCATCTTACAAGGGTGACTTGAGGTGGTATGAACATTGCTGATATTCAGTGCTAAGCCAAGGGGTCTCTCTTCTGCCAACACTGGGGTGTGCCCAGCAGGCTAGCAACAGGTGGTACCAACAGGGGGATATCCTACTCTCCCCTGCCCAGAGAAAAGCTTGGTACAGGCAGGGTTTCCAAAGTACCTCACGAGGGTTTCTCCACATTTCTGCAGAAGGGAAGCCCCAAACTTGAGGGATGGAGCCACCTGTTCAGGGTGTCCCCAGAGGCAGAGTGTGTCTTGCACCCCAGCTGTGACATCCTGCTGGTTCTATCAAGGGACTCTGTCCCTGGACCTCACTACCCTTGGGCCCCAGGTGCTCCTGGAACGTGGGCCTGCCTCGCTTGGGCTCACCTGGCTGCCTTTTCCCCTCTGCAGCGGCGGCGCCGAGCTCCTGTTTGACGGTGTGAAGAAGCACCAGGTGACCCTGCCTGGCCGGGAAGAGCCCTGTGAGTACTTCCTGCCCCAGGCCGCTGAGCAGGACCCCATCCACGTGGGAGAGGGAGGAGACAGCAGATCATTGTCGGTCACCTCCTAGGCGGGAATCCTTCCATGGGCGCTCGTAACTTAGATGGGAGGTGGGGCTTTTCTGGTTTGTTTGCTTACTTGCTTGTTTTTAATTTTTTGAAAGAACGGAAGAAGCACAGACAGAACTCCCATCCATTGGTTCACTTCCGCACATGCTCACAGCAGCCAAAGCTGGCCAAACTCAGAGCCGTGGGCGGTAGGACTCGGGCACCTGAGCTGTCGCCTGCTGCTTTCCAGGTCTGCCTGAGCAGGGAGCTGCCACTAAAAGGGAAGCTGGGACTCAAACCCAGGTCCTTTAGGATGATGTGTGGGGCATCCCAAGTGGCGGTGTGTGCTCCTTCAGACAAGAGCACCTCCTCACCTCTCTGGCATGTGCGGTTCTTGTCTGAGAAGCAGGGATGGTTAGCAAGAGGAGTAAGCAGGCTGAGCCTCTCCATCAATGTCATCTTCATGTACTTGAGGCAGAGGGGTCCTCGTGAAGATGGCCCTGCAAGGCCAGTGGCGCTCTTGGACACGTTAGGCTCCGGGATTCACGTTCAGTGGGTGGGAGAGGGAGGTTAACTAAGGCAGAGAGAGTAGATTTTCTCCCCACTGCTGAGCATAAATACTTGTTAATTTTCTTCCTTTTTCTTCTTTTTAAGATTTTTTAAGGATTTATTTTACTGGAAAGTCAGATATACACAGAGGAAGATCTTCTATCCGTTGACTCACTCCCTAAGCGGCCGCAACAGCCAGAGCTGAGCTAATCTGGAGCCAGGAGCCTCATCCTGGTCTCATACAGGTGCCAGGTCCCAAGGCGTTGGGCCGTCCTTAACTGCTTTCCCAGGTCACAAGCAGAGAGCAGGATGGGAAGTGGGGCTGCCGGGATTAGAACCAGTGCCCAGCGTGGTGGCCTAGTGGCTTAAGTCCTTATATTGAATGCGCCGCGATCCCATATGAGTGCCAGTTCTAATCCCAGTGGCCCCGCTTCCTAACCAGCTTTCTGCCTGTGGCCTGGGAAAGCAGTTGAGGACAGCCCAAAGCCTTGGGACCCTGCACCTGTGTAGGAGACCTGTAGGAAGTTCCTGGCTCCTGGCTTCTAATTGGCGCAGCACTGCCCGCCCATTGTGGTCTCTTGAGGAGTGAATCATCGGATGAAAGATCTCCTTCTCTGTCTCTCCTCCTCTCTGCATATCTGACTTTGCAATAAAAATAAATAAATCTTTAAGGAAAAAAAAATGGAACTGGTGCCCATATGGGATCCCAGTATGTGCAAGGCAAGGACTTAAGCAACTAGGCTATCACTCTGGGCCCATTTTTTAAAGTTGTATAAATTTTATTTTTGATAATTTTTACATATTTGGTTGGAGTGCGAAGGGGCAAGGGCTAGAGGAAAGTGGATGAGAATATTGTTTTGACATTTTCTTTTTTTCCTTCCTGTATCTGGAGGGAGGGGAAAGATAAGGGGAGAAGCCACACCCAGCCTCCCACCCGTCTCGGGATCCCAGATGTGGGGCATGCTCCGAGGGCATTGCTCAAGTAGTTTTGATAGTTCAGCTGTTCTGTATTGCTGCTGATCTTGCCACTCCAATCACAATGATATCTCCCCAGACTCCACTGGCTGACGTAGTCCACCTTAGAGTCTCTGCCCAGGTTTTCACTGCCAACTCTTTGCTGGGATAGTTGATCAATTTGTTCTGTCCTCTGTTATGGTACAGGTGTCCTCTGCAGGCTCCAGTGGGCTGCCATATCCTCCACATACATCTGGATATGCTGTCTATTGCTCTAAGGTGCTGAGGAGGCCCAGCTCTGACACATGCATTCTTTTTGTTTTATAATAATATATATTTTTAAGATTTATTTATTTTTATTGGAAAGTCAGATATACAGAGAGGAGGAGAAACAGAGAGGAAGATCTTCTGTCTGTTGATTCACTCCCCAAGTGGCCACAACGCCTGGAGCTGAGCCAATCTGGAGCCATGAGCTAGGAACTTCCTCCAGGTCTCCCGTACGGGTGCAGGGTCCCAAGGTTTTAGGCTGTCCTCCACTGCTTTCCCAGGCCACAAGCAGGGAGCTGGATGGGAAATGGGGCTGCCGGGATTAGAACCGGCCCCCATATGGAATCCCCATTGTTCAAGGCAAGGACTTTAGTGGACAGGCCACTGCCGTGCCTGACACATGCATTTTATGGTCAGACTATGGAACCTGCAATTCAAGATTTTCTTTGGGCCCAGTGCAATGATTAGGTTAGCTGATCCTCGCTTTGCAAGCACAAGAATCCCATGTGGACACCAGTTCGTATCATGTTTGCTCTACTTCCCATCCAGCCCCCTGCTTATGGCCTGGGAAAACAGCAGAGGATAAGTTCTTGTGTTTTCTGTACCCACTTGGGGGACCTAGAGGAAGCTCCTGGCTCCTGCTTTTAGATCAGCCTAGCTCCAGCCATTGTGGTAAGTGGACCAGCAGATGGAAGATCTCTCTCTCTCTCCTTTGTAAGTCTGCCTTTCAAATGAAAGTAATTTAAAAAAAATTTTTTTGAGCACATGTGCCAGTCAGATGTCAGTCCTTGCCTTCCAGTTAGGTATAGCAGAGCTTGCCTGCAGCAGTCCAGGGGGGAACTGCTGTAGCCTCGAGGTTGGCCCTCCCCGTGGCTGCTGTAGGGGTCATATGGGACCACAGTGTCCACGGAGGACTTGAGGGACCATGAGGAGGCAAGGGGAGAAGGACAGTAGTAAATGGTCATGGGAAATGAAAGAATCCCGTACTGGGATGCATTTGTGCCATGGCCGCCTCCAGCCCTCCTTGGGGCTGGGGCAGCTGCCCGGTGTGGGCTCTCTACCACCTGTAAAGGCCAGGAAATACTCAGGGGTAGCAGGATACTGTTCACATTGAATCGGGATATGGATGTAGCTGAGGCTCAATCAAAGGTGGAGGAAGTCCCAGGGAGTGATAAAGATGACTGATTCTTAGTTTGACAGCTGGCCTGGCAGCCTTGGCAGCCTTGGCAGGGGTCAAGGAGCTCTTAGAAGAAAGCTCTCAAGATTCAACCTCAAAGACCTCACCGGGAAGTCTGTTAAAATATCTCCAGTTGTCATTTGCTCTACTTGAATTTCCCAGCAGGAGCCTGTGCAGACTTTCCTCAGTCCTGAGCCTTCCCGCTCTTCCGCGGACGGCACACTCACTGAGTGCTGAGGACTGGAGGGTTTTCTTCTCTTGTGACATTGGCAAATGTTTTTTTGAGCTCCTCCTTTGTGTGAGGCTGTGCCAGTTGCTGGGTGTTTGGTGGTGAGCAAACAGATGTGAGGTCGCCTTAATAGAATTAACAGTGGGATGGAAGTAGAGCCAGAAAACAAACAAGTAAACAAACAAATGTACAAGTGTATTACAGCTGGTGGTGATTGGCATGAGGGAAACAAAAGGGGCTTTGAATGGGACTACCAGGTGGTCAGGCAAGGCCTCTTTAAGACCCTGACATTGAGGCTAAATCCCGAAGAATGACTGAAGCCAGCCCAGTAAATTGTGGAGGGAGAGTAGAGATGCATGTCCCAAGCAAGGGGGCAGCACTTGGCAAGGCATCAGGGAACTAAATGAGGGTCCAGGTCGTAGGGCACAGGCTGAGTGTGGAGTGGTGGGCAGAGCTGCTGTCTTTGTGGAGGTCCTTATCGCCAGTTCCTGAAAGGAGCTGCCATTAGTATTTGCACTTGGAGGAACCCATGTTGTGATAATTCAGGTTAAGTCACTGCTGGTGGGGCCAAGCATGACAGCATAGCGGCTAAAGTCCTCACCTTGAATGCGCCAGGATCACATATGGGCACCGGTTCTAATCCTGGCGGCCTTGCTTCCCATCCAGCTCCCTGCTTGTGGCCTGGGATATCAGTCAAGGACAGCCCAAGGTTTTGGGACCCTGCACCTATGTTGGAGACCCGGAAGAGGCTCCTGGCTCCTGGCTTTGGATTAGCTCAGCTCCAGCTGTTGCGGCCACTTGCACAGTGAACCATCAGATGGAAGATCTTCCTCTCTATATCTGACTTTGCAATTAAAAAAAAAAAGTCAGTGCCTGTGATGCTGGCATCCCATACAGGCATCAATTTGAGTCATGGGTATTCTGTTTCCTGGCTTTGGGCTGGCCCAGCTCTGGCTGTTGCTGCTATTTGGGAGTGAACTACTGAATGGAAGAACTCGCCATTAAATAAATGGATTTTAAAAAAACTAGATCATAAAAAAACAAGAAGGTGAAAATCCAGGCTGAGAGATGTTGGGGGTTTTGCCCTGAATTACCCACAGATGTACCTGGGATTCAGACCAGGTTTGAGGGTGTCCCCAGTACAATGTGCCTCTAACCCAGCAGGACATGGCAGCCTGACATCTGACACCCTCAGAGCCATTGGCCAGTTTTTACACTCATTCACTCATTCCTACCTTCAGTGGCCACTTCAGTTTTTATAGTGACCCCATCAGCTATTGTGATCAAGGAAATCAAACCTCAGCTAGAGAAGGGTTGGGGAAGGAAGCCAAGACCTGCCCAGCATTGTCCTGTAGGGAGGCTGGCCTCGGACTGCAGGTTGATTTGGTTGGTATTGTTTTTTATTTGTTGAGATTTATTTATTTGAAGGGCAGAGAGAGATCTTCTACCTGCTGGTTCATTTCCCAAGTGGTCTCAATGGCCAAGAGCGGACCAGGCTGAAGCCAGGAGCATAGAATTAAATTTAGGTCTGCATATGGGTGGCTGGGATGTGAGAGTTTGGGCCATCTTCCCATACCACAACAATAGCTCCTAGGGCTTTAGTTCTGAGCCCCAGAGAGTCTAGGAAAGAAGACAGGATGGCCCATGGCTCAGTTTTCGGGCCTTGGCTCTGGGTCCATATTCCTGGTGCCCATTTAAGCCTCGTTGTACCCAGAGGCGAGGGTGACACTTCAGCCATGGAGCTGGTTAGCAGCTACC